AAAAAAAAAAAAAGAGAAAAGAAGTTTGCACCCAGAAGAAAAAGTTCCAGCGAAGTGTAAAAACCGCCCGATTTTCCAAGCTGCCGCTTCAACAAATGCCGGAGGAGGGAATCGGAGGCTCCGGGAAGCAGAGCCGGCGGGACTCCTTCGCTTTGGGGCGGCGATCCGCTTCGGAGAGCGTCGGAGAAGGAAGAGGAGGATCCGGAGCCGGATCCGGAGCAGCCCGGGGTGCGTGTCGTGAGTGGGTCCCGGAGGGTGGGATGGATGGAGGAGAGAGCCGACACTCCAAGGAAGGTGGCCCACGCCTTCTCTTTCTTCTCCCTTCTGGTCAGGCCCGGAGTCCTCCTTTTCCCGGACCTGCCCTCCCTTCCCGCCTTCTCTTCCAAAAGGTCCTCCGAATGGAGCAGGAGGAAGAAGCATGGATTTAGATTTCTAGGAGGTGTTTTTTTTTTTTTAAATTGGGGCAGGTCCTCCATTTCCCGGACGTGCCCTCCCTTTGATGGGGTGTGTGTGTGTCACGTGCTCCATTTCCCGGACATGTCCTCCCTTTTACGCCGGGAGGCATTCCGAACGGTCCTCCGTTTGGAGCAGAATGCAGAAGCGTGGATTAGATTTTAGTGTTTCTGAGCTTTGACTGGGCCTTGTCCTCCATTTCCCGGACATGGCCTCCCTTTCCGCCTTCTCTCCGGGAGGCATTCCAAAATGAGGCCTCCGTTTGGAGCAGGAGGAGGAAGCATGGATTTAGATTTCTAGGAGGTTTTTTTTTTTAAAAAAAAAAAATGTAAAAAAAATTTGGGCCGTGTCCTCCATTTCCCGGACATGTCCTCCTTTCCCACCTTCTCTCCAGGAGGCATTCCAAACGGTCTTCCATTTGGAGCAGAATGCAGAAGCATAAATTAGTTAGTATTTCCGAAGCTATGATTGGGCCGTGTCCTACATTTCCCGGACACGTCCTCCGTTTCCGCCTTCTCCCCGGGAGGCATTCCAAAAGGGCCTCCCGTTTGGAGCAGGCGGAAGAAGCATGGCTGAGGGCTTTTTGAGCTTGGATGGGGTCCTGTCCTCTATTTGTCTCCAGCGTCCTCCCTTTTGGCCGTCCCTCGTGGTTCTTTGGCGCTTCGGACATCTGGTCACTCCTCTGAGATCAGGCCATCCCCGCCGAAGGCTGCCTGGATCTTTCCTCTCTGCGGCTGCATCCAGACGGGAGAAATCATCCGGTTTGACCCCGCTTTAACTGCCCTGGCTCCATGATATGGAATTCTGGGCATGGTCGTTTGTTTTGGCTCTGGTACCAAATCTGTGCCGGGAAAGGGGTCCATGACCCACCTGGAGGAGGGGGTTGGAGCCCCTCTTGAGCCAAGGAACGGGAGAAGGTCCAGAAAGAAAGAAAGAGAAAACAGACATATTAGGAACTGGCCATCGTGGCTCTGAAAATAATACACAGCTTCTGTTTTTTAAAAACAAGAATAAATTATCCGAGGTTACAGGTAGATAGGTAGGATAGATAGATAGATAGATAGATAGATAGATAGATAGATAGATAGATAGATAGATAGATGTAATAAATAGGTAATTGGAATAAATAGACAAGATGGATAGTAGAAAGAATAGGATAGGATAGGATAGGATAGATGGATATATAGATATGCTAAGAAGGATAGATAGATTGGATAGGATAGATAGGATAGATGGATGGATGGATAGATAGATAGATGTAATAAATAGGTAGTTGGAATAAATAGATAAGATGGATAGTAGAAAGAATAGGATAGATAGGA